ATATATATATATATATATATATATATATATATATATATATATATATATATATATATATATATATATAAATATATATATATATATATATATATATATATATATATATATATATTTATATATATATATATATATATATATATATATATATATATATATATATATATATATATATATATATATATATATATATAAATATATGCATGTATGTATATATATATATATATATATATATATATATATATATTTATTTATATATATATATATATATATATATATATATATATATATATATATAAATATATATATATATATGTATATATATATATATATATATATGTATATATATATATATATATATATATATATATATATATATATATACATATATATATATATATATATATATATATATATATATATATATATATATATATATTTATATGTATATATATATATATGTGTATATATATATATATATATATATGCACCACATTTTATATCTTGTAAAAACAAGATATAAAATGTGGTGCAGATGTAAAAGTTGCATCCATTGTGTTTTTACTCTCATACATAAGTTTAATTTGTTCATACATTAGTTAATCAGCATATGACTAGTTATGTTTGGCATACATGTTTATTTCAAATATAATTTGTACCCAGGTTTCATGCAATTTTACTTTCCCCAAAATGTTCTCCAAAATGTTTTTATAAAGCGTTGTTTGGTATGTCTTTTGTTATGGATGCTTAAAACTCATTAATCTCATTTTATTGTATAAATACAGGGTGTTGCTTGTGGCTTATGTTTGTAAACCACTTAATTACTTCAGTGGTATTTTTCTATTGATTTACTTTTAAGTTTTTACTTCCTTATCCAGGTGTATTTTGCTGACTACACCAAGTTCACTTTTGCTGGAATTTTTAGGTGGCAAGGTTTCTGATTATCAAAATTCTTTTTGTGGTCTTTTAATGTAATGAATGCTTCTAACTTTTTTAATTTTATTGTTTGTATTTTTATTTTTTTTTATTTTTTGTTTATATTTAGTTTAGTTACTATACTTTTTGCTTCGAGGTTGATTTCCTAGCTTTTAGGGGATTTTTTGTATGTTTTTATGATGTTTCCTTTTAGTAGTTTGAAGTAATCTTTAGGGGGTAACCAGTAAATCTTGTTGGTTTTGTTGACTAAATATTTTTCCTCCCGTAATAATCTAAAATACAAATATAAACTATAACTTTCACTGAACAAATTATACCAAAACTTTTACAACTTGCCTGATGATTGTGGTAACATATAAAACTCAGAGTTGCAATAAAAAATAATATCACAAACATTAGCATTTAGTTAATTCCTGGTAATATAAAAAAACATTAATATTTATACTATATATATATATATATATATATATATATATATATATATATATATATATATATATATATATAGATAGATAGATAGATAGATAGATAGATAGATAGATAGATAGATAGATAGATGTATATTTTGCTCTATTTGAAATTTGAAACATCTTTTCAATTTTAAGCAATTTTTTTTGGTTATGAATTTTGTTTTATCATTATAATACAAAACAGCTTTAAATATCAATATATGTAACTTTGCAAATAAAATTTACTTTTTAAGTGCAACTTATTTACTTTGCAAATTAAACATTCACTGAATAGTTATGTTTGTCAAATATATAATTATCAGATATCCTTAAATGTTAAAATTTTTACTGTTTAGAGAAATCATATGTAATCACCATTGCAGTTTTAGTTCCTGTTCTGGTTGTTGTTATAACTATTTTAGTTATATTACAAATTTGTAGGAATAAACAATATAAGCATGAGCAGATGCAAAAATCCTTTCACTACATTTATTCGTAAGTGCAACCTTTTTTTAGTATTCCCAGAATAAAGTTTTAAATAGAGTTTTTTGTTTCTTGTTATCTAGGTGTTACTGAGCTCTGTATAAAAACAAATAGTTGTTAAGCTAGAAAAAGCGATCATACAAACACATTTTAAGTGTAAAATAGGCTCATCTTTATAGAGCTTTAGGGGAGTTTTGTGTGTTTTGAGATTCGTACATGTTAGTGTATGTGTATATAAAAGATTTTAGCAAATAAAACTATTAAATAAAGTTGTTTAATGAACAAATTTACTAATTTATAATTAGGAAACAAAATGTACTAAATAGTTAAAAATTCTTTAAAGTTTTTTTAATTTCGATTAAAAAAACTTCAAAGGAGTTGAAAACTAGTGAGTTATCTAAAATTGGTTAAGTACACTAATCATATTTCCTTATACTGTATCTTGACAGTTTTTGCCTTATGCCAAGTTGCTCAGTTGTGTATGAAAATATCAAACTTTCAAAGTTAAAACTTTTGAAACTTTTGAACGAATTGAAAATCTTGTCTTGTTTTAAAAAATTATAACAAGCTCGAACTTGAAATCTGTATACTTTTCACAGTCAAGCAGCATATAAAAATTATATGCTGTTTGACTTTGAAAAAGTGTATTTCAACCCCTTTTTTTCAAAAAATGGAAAATATATTATTGTTTCAATTATTGAAGCATATATATATATATATATATATATATATATATAGTATATATATATATATATATATATATATATATATATATATACATATATATATATTATTCAGTAATATTGAGTACTGTAACATGTACAAGAGACTTCGTATTGATACATCAAAACACTTCAACTCGAATATATTCTATAAATTGGTATATAGATATTTGTTTGAGATACTTGTATATATATATATATATATATATATATATATATATATATATATATATATATATATATATATATATATATATATATATATATATATATATATATATACATATATATATATACTCTTTATGTGAAAACCATTAAATTTAATTGAGTTTACTAATTAAACTTCATTGATTTTTTAAAAAACCACAAAAATGCAAAACAAATATGTTATATGCAAATGTCAAAAATCCACTTATATAACGTTATGTGAAAACATCAGTATGTTTAAATATCAACAGCGGGTCTTAGACGGAACAGTTGTGTATAATGTATATAATAATCTTTTTTCCACAAGTAAACAAGTCATAAACTTTATATTTGATTGAAAAACTTTACTCTGAGTAAAGTTTTTCAATCATAATAAAAATAAACAACTGCAATTTAAAAATCACAATTTCTGCATTAAGTTGATATATATATATAAATGTTATTTAATGTATAAATTAATATTTATACATTAAATAACATTTATATAAATGAAAAGTATACAGATTTCAAGTTCGAGCTTGTTATAATTTTTTAAAACAAGACAAGATTTTCAATTTGTTCAAAAGTTTCAAAAGTTTTAACTTTGAAAGTTTGATATTTTCATACACAACTGAGCAACTTGGCATAAGGCAATGGATTTTTATTATTATACTATCATGTAATTTTTCAAATAAAAAAAATGAAAGAAAAAAATTAAAAATTAAAATACTTTGAATTTCTTTGAAATATTTTTGTATCCAAACATAATTGCTCATGATAAACTATCGGCAAAAAAAAAAAAAATTCTCATAATATTCATTAAATTTTTTGTTGAGGTTTTTTAATTTAAATTTTGTATAAAAAAAAAAAGTAAAAAACGGGTACTAATATCTGAACCACTGAAAAATATCAGTTTGCGCAATGGGTACCAAAGCATTTAAAATTTGTTAATTTTAGAAACTTTAAAGTTAAATTTAATATAAAACTAATTTCTTTTCACTTTAAAAAGTAGAAAATATATGCTCTTCTCTATTTTTATACATTTTATCCATGTTGGTATTAGTGCCTGTTAACTTTACTGCTGCTTATCAGAGGGTTTGATATTGCTTATTTTTTTAATAAGGTTTAAAGCAAAAAAATCACAAATATTAAACAAATATTATAAGTATTTTTAGTTTAGAAAGTTGAACTTATGCTTTTTTTGTTATTTAAAGTATCTTTAATTTATATATTGTACAGATATATATTATATATAATTTATTATACTTTTTTATTAAACTGTGTTTATTATATGAGAATAAACATATCTTTACTTTTAATATAATACAAAAATATTTATTTTACTTAACAAGATCAACAAAAATTTAATGAATAATATAAGATTTTAAATGGATAGTTTTAATAGCGCAATCACATTGTGTAGCAAACATACTTTGTTTATCAAAAATTTACTAGCATAATGTAACTTTATATTTTATACAGTGTATACTTTACATCATATTTTTTAATGCTAGATATTATTTATTACTATCTGTCAGAACCTGTAAAATGCAGGTTGTGATATATACTTATTCTTTACTTCAATTTTTTTTAGTAAACGGTAGAAAAATTACAATATACCTATAGAAAAACTATACAAATTAAAAAAACTACCTTTATAAGTTGTTTTAAATCTATTTTTACAAATTGTTTACTTTTTATGAAAAAAAAAAAATTATAATAAGTTAAAAATTTACAAAAATTTATAATGCTTTAAAAAACTGAAAACGTTTTGGTAGCCGTTACGCAAATCGCTATTTATCAACGGAGTGAATGAAAATTCCCATCAAAATAATATTTAGAATACCTGCTCAAAATGTATTAATTACCTTTAGTAAAAAAAGATTTTAAATACATGTGGAAATAGAGTTTAAGAGGTGAAATAACTATGAAATGAACTGAAATACCATGACCCGTATAACACGCTTCATGGTAAGTCTATTCCCCACCAATTATTTAATAATTTTAATTTATTTTAATAATTTAAAAAAAAAAGCAAAAAAAAAAATAATTTATATATATATATATATATATATATATATATATATATATATATATATATATATATATATATATATATATATATATATATATATATATATATATTTTATATATATATATATATATTATAATTTTAATATATATATATATATATATATATATATATATATATATATATATATATATA